AAAAAAAAAAAAAGGTTAAGGAAAATATAGAAATAAACTTCTAAGCAATTTGTAAGTGGTACAAACTGCTTGATCAGCTTCAGGGGGGAGCAGCATAAAAGAAATGCCATTGCTTGGCTTGTAGTAGATTCATTAATATGATAGAAACAAAAAGCCAGTCACCGTATGTGCATCAACTTTTACTGATATAATATTACACCTTAACCTTAGTCTAGCACAACACAAAGACACAACCTCGGCTTTCTGTTTGGGCCTTGAACCATTTTTTTCTCAATAATACACTCTTTGGCTGGTAACAACTGCAAAAATAAATCTTAAATCCTACCATTCCATTAAAAATCACATAAGTTTCAGAATGGACTTCGGAAACTTAAAAAATTGTCTACCTAGAAAATGAATTTTCCCTTTCTATAATGAAATTTATTTGCTCTCGTCAAGGCACATAAATAAATAAAGCATGTGCTCTTAAGAGCACGCCATGCTTTATATAAATTCCGCTTGAAAATAAATAATTTGGTGTTCATATGCCACTTTCTTTAAGCAGCCATTATGTATTGGGCCCATAAATGATTTTTTAGGCACACAGGCTGGACAAAGAAGTACCAGACAAGAGTTGAGAAACACGCACATTATTTGGATGCCAAGCTACACTCGTCACAGAAGACTCGTGTCGCTTCCTGATAAGCTTACTGACCCACCTGGTTGAAAGTGCAGAGGAAAGGATTATAAAACATTGATACGGATTGTGGACAATAACAAGAATGAAACGCACAGAACTCGACTACAACTTTATTCAGGGTTCTTCATTTTTTTTGCCATTTAGTCAACAATCAAACACGCAGTCAAATGCATATGTGAAAACTGAAGCAGCATTAGATTGACTCACAATTTACATAATCATGGTGATAAATTATTCATAATATGCATCAAGAGAAGCTCTGAGAGAAGAAGCAATTAGGATATCATTACCAGTTATTTTCTTGTTCATAGTAGCATATACAAACAGTTTTAGCCCCACTTCCAACAGCAAACTTGTTTTCTGAAAAGAAATGATAGAACTATGAACAAGACTAAAATCTGGACATTCCTATAAGAAAAACCATTATGAGAAAATGTAATTTATATAGTACTGAATGCAAATAAAATATCATATGTCTAAGATAGACTTCAGTACCTTTTGGACTCCATTGTACACAAAGTGCAGCACGATTTAGCCTAAGGATAACAAGAGTGGGTACCCATTCGGTCGTTTCTTGGTTCCAAACATATCTACAGAAATGTCAATATAGAATTTATGTTACAGAAATTGGTTGCAATGAGGAAAGGATGATTACACTGCAAGCTGAGTCACAAAGAATTTGAGGGAGGGAGGAAAAAAATAGGAAATCATTGGTATAAATCACAAAATTCACAACAATGCTCTTGGCCACATCCAAATATATTTAGATATTAGACTCCATCATGATGGATGGCAATATTTTCAGCTAAATGATCACTTACGAATTACGGTCATGCGAAACAGTAACTATTCTGTTTGAGCTTTTGCACCAATCTACTCCAGAAACAATTTGGTCATGCTGTCACAAGAT